AGCTAGATATCCTGACTCAGTTATACATATAAATATTTAACTTCAGTATGTCTATATAAAGAATATGAAGAAATACATAATAAAAGGAAAAATCGATGGAAACCGTAGCATAGGGAGGAAAAATAAATCATGGCTACGTAACATAAGAGATTGGACCCACACCGACGGAAACGCTCTTATTCACCAAGCTCTGGACAGAGAGTCATATGCCATACTAGTCGCCAACCTTAACAGAGAAGGCACGTAAGAGGAGGATGTCTATATCCTGAATGAATTAATGTACAACGAACTAGTAGACAGAAAAGACATTTTGGTAAATAACACAACACTGGAAATAGTAAAAGAATATACATATTTGGGACAACTAAACACAGCTCTGGATCTCCATTACCATAAATCAACAAAAGAATTAAGTTAGCATGGAGTAATTATAGAAGATAGATAATCACTTTATCTAAAGACGAAAACATTCGACCAATATGTACTACCAGTCATGACCTATGCATGCGAAACCTGGACATTTAAAATGGAAATTGCAAGAAAACTGCAGGTCGCACAATGCTCAATGGAACGAAATTATACTGGGATTAACCAAGAAAAACTTTAAAAGAATAGAGTGGATACGACAAAAGACCCAGGTAATAGATGTCATCCACAGAATCAAATCCCTCAAGTGGCAGGACACCTGGCAAGACGGAATTCAAACATGAGATGGGGCCATGATATTAAGAAATTAGCAGAGATAAGTTGAGCCCGCATAGCCAAAAATAGACAACAATGGACCCAACTACAAAGAAAGTATCTCAATATGTGAGGGAGGCTACACCATAAATGGAAATGGTTAAATAAGCTGAAAATGATGATGATGTTTAGTATACTCATTTTTTACAACCAAACCAAACATAGCAATGGCCCCATTAATATTTGTCGAAAGTTACCAAAGAAGGGTGAATGTTCTCAAAATTCTCACTTTTCTCGAGAATAATTAGAAAAAAATTCAGAAAAATGTTAAGAAAATATAACTGATTTATTTAACGTTTAATAAGTAGAAATACTCAAGCAATTTATAGAACATTAAAAACAGATTCACATTATCATTCTTCAGAAAATTGTTGTTTTATGTTTTATACAGGCAAACTAGCAGGCTAACCAGATAGAATTTTAGTTGTATAAATAAACGGTTTGGTGTAAACAGAAAGTGAAATGAAAGACCGCCCTAAACAGTTAACTAACTGAAAAAAGTACAAGTTTTGGTTTCGGTACCGTGGGATTTTAAAATATTTAACTATAACCTTGCGCTTTGCCCAACCTATCGTTCGCGTTCAGGTGCTAACTCATCAATAAACAGTTTTCGTGTTTGTCTTTCCTTTTACGTTGCACGTAGTTTTTAGTTTCCAACCGTCAGTTAGCCGCGAAGAGAAGTGCATGTAGAGTAGCCGTAACTAAAGAAGAAGCCACCGCGTCATCAATGACGACATGATTTTATTGCCACCGTTTAGACGCCCGGAGAGTCGATGTGAGCATGAAAATAGATACAGTAGTTATTCAAACGCAAAACTAATATTTTGAAATTACTTAGCGTGGCATCACTGAATCCAAGGAAGCGTTCACTGTTCACCGGTATAAGTAACTTTGATGCTTGGCTTCTTCTCTCGACGCGGCTACTTTACCGATTCTAAACATATACATTTATCATATCTAAAGTGAAATTTGTCACACGAGTTAAAAGGGAGAACAACGATTGTATAAATACATGTTTCGAAATAAAATGGATGCTTAATGTATTTAAATAAATAGAACAACGCATGTTTGCGTGTTTTTAACCGTTATTATTCGGTTACAATGTAAATATTTTGTTGCTTTTTAAAATAAACTTTCAAAATACGCGAATAAAATATGTATGTTTGTTTATTTTTCATTTTTAATACTTTTATTATAAAAAGGGTAGAGCAATATATAATTCAAATAAAAATTCTTTACCGTAGCTGCTGTTTTTTTTTAATAATCGGTGAGTTAAATATATCCAGATATTTTAGTTATTTATTTTCTTCATATTACGACTAAAAATATTTGGATCATCAAGAGTAAGAAATGGAGAACTGAGTTATCTAGATTCTAGTAAGTAGTAAGTAGTAGTTTGCAAAATACAAAAGATCTATGCTACAAATTGAAGCTTTAGGCTCCCGTTTGCTGCTTGTATGCTTTTTCTTTTCTCTATCTCGTAATTCGAATGCTCCTTAAGAGTCTATTACGCTGGACTTTCAGGTCGTTCTCAGGGGTCGGGTAAAGCGGGTGTGTGGCCGAAGGAAATATATATTATATTTCAGAAATCTGCCTGAGGCTTAGCCCGATCATGTCATGTTCAGCCACACCCAAAATTCCAAACACACGTGCTTTGATTAAGGCTTGATTAAGGTTTGCACAGCTTCAACATTTGCCATAAAATAGCGAGCAATTTGTTACAAAACCATATAAATTATATGCACTGTAATCACAAAACTTTAATCTATATCCGTTTTGTAACGGAATTTTAAATTATGTCTTTATTTAGAGAGAATTTAGTCCAAACATAAGGAATATTTTGACAATCAAAATCTTAAAAATAAAGAAGTTGTCTAAAAATCTGCTAAAACACGGACAATCCTTTATCTTTAATTTCCTTCTTCATTTTTGTAAAAATACTTAGCCAGTTTTACATAAAACGTTAAATGCTGAACGGTTATTTTGCTACTTTTTCGGACTAGTGAAATGGACTCTTAAGAATATAAGCCAGAAAGACGAGTCTGCGGTTATCACTCTCTATGCCGATATTTCTTTCCTTTTTTATATACTTTTCAGCAATAGTATCCCTATTTCTTTGTATTACTACTTAGCTAAGGGTATTAAGAGCCGGGTTGTTATTGGCTACCTCCGCAGATATTCTGGACAAAGCCTACAATCCTGGAAGACTCTGGTTATAGGCTGCAAATTTAACTTTTCTTTCTTGACTTGACTAAGAACTGTATAATTTATTTTTTTAATGAACCTACTTAAATAAAAAAGTTATGATCAGTTAAATATAAGATAAAATAAAATTCTTGTAACACTGTAAACACATTTGTACAATAAATTACATTTTATAACTTTTTGATCGCACTTTTTATCATCATTCTATCCATAGTAATGTAAAAATACAAAGGTATTTTAAATCCTCATCTCCTTGAATTAAATTATGTAAAACAGGATTCTATAAACAACCTAACTTGTGCTATATAGCTATTTCTCGCTTAAAGCAACAACATAAATATTTTTCATTCAAACAATATTCATGGGATGACGCAAACCCTCATAGAATCAATTTATAAAAAATACGTAGGATGAAATAATGTATGATCAAGATGCACGCAAGGTACATTCTAATGGCAGTGCTTTCAAGGTAACAATACGAGGATTTTTTAGCATTACAAATTACCTGAACAATGACTATAATTAATGACGAATTACTTATTGTAATAAAGTTCTAAGAATATTTTCTTGATGATTAAATACAAGCATTACACTGTGCCAAAGAAGAACGTGTTCTTTTATTTGCCAACTTTCACGATACATCATAATTCAAAATGAAAAAAAAAGTTTAGGTAAATGAAGAACGTACACAATGCTGTGTATTCCGGGAAGCTTTCACTACAAATAGCATCAATTTTATTGTTGGACGTGAAAATAGAAATTTCCAATCAACTCTTCGATAGGTAACAATGGAACGACGAGAATAATTTAATCATTTTGCTCTTATTTTCTACCCTAATATACATTTTAGATTTTATATATACGCTAGCGTGTACCCGCGACTTCGTTCGTGTCGAATTAATCATTTGCAATGGTGATGATAAAGCAAAGCAAGAATTTCCATTAACATACAAACTGGATAAAATTTTCTCACATTTATGTCAGCATGAGAAAAAACAATATGGCGATATTATTATATCACTTGGTAATATTTGAGGGGTAGTTTCATCTCGTTGGAATTTGACTTTCGAAAAATCCGTTTGCCAGAAATAAGCTTTTTACGTCAAGCAGTTTAAGCAGAATCGTGGTTAATCAATTACCCAACTTTTTGGAACACCCTGTATGATTTTTTAAAAAAATTCAAAATATGTAAAAGACAAAATAAATTATGCGTATCCAAGGGCTTTCCTGAAAGACTAACCATTTTTTAAATAACAAATATTGTAATATTTGAGGGGCGTTTTCACCATCTTGGAATCTGAGATTCGAGAAACCCCTGCTTATCGAACCTCTACACCCCACAGTCAATCCGTTTGCCAAAAATAAGCTTTAAACGTCAAGCAGTTTAAGCAGAATCGTGATTACTCAATGGTCATATTTTACGAAAGACCCTGTATAAATTTTTTAAAAATCTTAAAATATGTAAAACAACAAAATAAAATATACGTGTTTAAGAGTTTTTCCGAAAAACTCACCGGTTTTTAAATAAAAAATTTTCTAATATCGAGTTTCTAAGAATCCCTTCTTATTTTCTTATCGAACCTCTACACCGTAAAGTCAATCCGTTTTTCAAAAATCAGTTTTTTACGTCAAGCGCTTTAAGCGGGAACGTGATTAATCAATGACCAGATTTTTCGAAACACCCTGTATACATTTTTTTTAAAGCTTAAAATATGTAAAAAAACAAAATAAAATATACCCTTGGAACTGGAATTTCAAAAAATCCATTCTTATCGAACCTGTTCACCCTAGAATCAATCTGTATGCCAAAATTGAGCTTCTTACGTTGAGTGGTTTGAGCAGGATCGTGATTAATCAGGGACTCACTTAAGGATTTTATATATTAGTATAGATATACATTTTAGATACTTTTCTGATTTAAAATTATTGGTTGAATAGTAGAGTTGCAATAAAGTGTTACCCTTTCTATGAATGAATTTTATATGCTGCCAACTAAAAAATATTATTCTTGTCACGTGGCACATTTCATCAATCGTTTTCTTCTTTTGTTTCAGGGAACTCTGACAAGTGCATCGCAATACTTGTTTTCCGCTCTAGACAGTAGGGCTTATTTACGGTCTGCAACTGTTTTACTTCCCTCGTCATGGCCCGATTCCTGCGCGCCTTCTGCTGTCTTAGGGGCTTCCGGAGAATCATCGGACATAACAGGTAATTTAACTTTGTCTTTTAAACCGATTAGAAGCAATATTAAATGTATTAAGCCTTCCGACAAACAGCATCAAAGTCAAAAAGAAATCGAAATATAATCAAAAAAGATACTTATGTTCTTTGACGAGAAACTTTCTTCATTTAATTTAAAGAGAAACAAAACTTTGGATAAAAACTAAATAATGTGTAACTTTGGTGATTGTAATAAACTTATCACAATCATAGACAAGATAGTATCAAGAAAGCATTTAGAAGTAACTTTTTGTTAAAGTCTTTTGGTTTAAACTCATAAAGTCAATTAAAGTCTATTAAAAAATTATATCAAAAAGTAATAATAATTAAAAAAATTGCAAATTGATCGTTATCAGTTCATTTCGCTCTTAAAAATTAACCAAAGCATGTACTGACATAAATCGAAAAACAAAATACTCAGGAGTCATAGTTCTAACCATAAAACTATATTTAAGGAAAATTTACAGACGAAATTATTGTACATGGTGTACTAAAGATAGAGTATAATAACAACCCCTCGATTAACCCGGTATAATATGCCAAATACTAAAGTTTATAAAAAGCTGAATTTACGAATTAAAGTTCATAGAACTATATACAGCTTGCTAAAAAATTCATGAAGCAATAGAGCTAAAAGTAACAAAAATATAACACTTTAAATTTGACCAAAAATTTCTCCCTTGCGTTTTTTTTGCATCTGAGTTTAAACTATCAATTTTAGTAGCAAAATACCAAGCTATGATAAACTGAATAAATAACTGCAGTCTCTTTTTGACTAGTGTTTAAAAAGTTTCAATCAAATTATGTTTTGCATTGATGAATTCTCAGTAATCAAAGACTCTTTATTTTCCAGTTCTACCATCCGGTCCTGTTCACGGTGACATGTACACTCAGCAATCTCTCGGATGTGGACAACCTGGCGACCAAATTTTCCTTAACTATGCGACGTTGCATTACAAGAACCCGACTCTCGCTAGATCCCTCATCAAAGAATTTGCTATGTATCGCTATGGAGTGTTCGAAGAGCAAGGTTACTTCAACGATCCCGTCTACCCCATGTGTTACTACGACGATGTGAACAAGAAGACGAAAATTTCTGGATGCTCAGACCTACCAATTTCTGAAAATGGGTTGTGCCATTCTGATTCTACTGAATTTAACGTAACACAATTAGTCGATCCCAATGCACGATCTTCAATAATGTTTGCCGCTGAAGCACCTTCTGTATCCATGTTTTGTGATGACGGAAACCACGATAGATTTGCACCCACTAAACATAACTTAATATGTCAGAGGAAGAGTGTTTTAGAAGTAATTTTAAGACATCCTGATTTCTCCAGCCGAAATGCCCAGAACAATTTTAACAATAACCAAATCACTGACACGACACCTAACATTGTGTACAAGAAACAGAATTTAACTCGCTACCTATTTGTCGTTGAAAATAACAAAGACATGCTGCAAAGGGAATCTTGGAGCTATCTTCGTCTAGCAATGAGATATTGGGCTCTGTATGTTGTTCCGGATAATTCTGAATTGGGACTGGTCTTATCCACTTCTAACCCCGTGCCAAATCTGAAACTACTGTCTGCTAGAACGAGCTTTAGCGATAAATTTGGTACTACCAACAGAGATAAATTCTATTCTGCTTTACCGTATACTCCAAGCGAATCAATTCAACCCGGCTGTCTTCATTGTTCGTTAAAAGTAGCAATGAATATGCTAATTGATCGTACAAGATCACACGGTCCAGCAAATAACGTTATAGTTGTAATAGCACCCGGTATGGCTGTCACTGATCAGATTAAAAATGCGGCAAAAGAATTGAAGAAGAACAAAATTCGAATGGCTACCATTAACTATCCTGAGATTGTTCGTCCAAATACATTGAGACTGTTAGCAGAAGAAACGGGTGGAATGGATTACACCATTTTTGAAAACAAACTAAATGTAGATACAACCATGCTCACTACTTATTTTGAACTACACAATGTGTTGTACGATATAGTCGAAAAGTTTTATTCTGGAAGCAAAGCTGATCTTCCTATTGAGGTGAGTTTATATTCTGATGTTATATAAAGACGAACATAACTAAATTTTATTATTGTTTTTAGATTCACCGCCGTGAAATCACCGATAAAACAGGAAGACCTCTTGTTAGTGGCACCTTCATAATGGACCCTAGCCTAACCGAACCAGCCCAGTTCACATTCTTTACATACAACACCGTTACGCCTTTGTTCAAAGGTTTAAAACTCACCAGTCCCAGCAATCACGTCTACGATAGCAGAACAGATAAATTCATCGACTTCAAAATGATCACTTTAAATGCAAATCTAACTGAAAGTGGAACATGGACTTACAACGTCGAGCCCTATTCAGGAAACCCTCAGCCACATTTCTTGAAAGTCATGGCTACTCCTATATCACCATACGTTCCTGTAATTCGCACTTCATTTAGAATCCACAAATTAAGTCCTGGACTTCTTATTTTATTGGCCGAAGCCAAATACGGTGATTTGCCGATTCTTGGAGCCAAAGTAGAAGTTACTGTTACGAAACTTGTAATGAACGAGACAACGCCACAGAAATCAATTATCTATCTTCTGGATACCGGTTCTGGGGATCCAGATATTACACGAGGTGATGGAATTTATACTAAATACTACAGTGCTGATGATGCCGGCTTATATACCTTCCAAACGATCATTACTAACAATGACAACACAGCATATACTTGGAGTTCGTCAAAAAATAGCGGTGAGTAGTTTTTCTAATAGTCATATTGCTATCAATAATCTTTATTTCTTACTGAATTTATATAAGTTTATATCGCCTTGGTTATGCTAATCATAAATAGAGTTATTACTCCCCTGGAACATTATTAACGGCAATTAAGACGCCATAATTTCCCCTACCTTTTATAGGTAACAACCATGAAATACAATAGAGATTTTGAGTAGTAATATAAAATAATAGCACACTTATCTAACTGCTCTAATAATTTATTTACATCACTAACGTTATAATAAATTTACAAGCTAACTTTATAATAAATTTACAAGAGAACAGTTTCATCAGCATCCCCTGCTACAATATTTTTCTGTCCCAACCACTGAAGGTATTTTTATATTCCTTATGGTAAATGGATTCACTTTTAGGGGGTAGAAGTAACGCTTGTCGTGCTTCTTCAGCTTTTTTAAATATATATTCTCCATTTTAATGGAAACGTTCAACTGAACTCGATTAACAACAACCGTCAATTTATAAACAGGTCATTTAATGCAATACTAACCTGGCAACAAACAAATTTCCTACCAGCAGCAGCTTTAATACAAATACACCATAGATAAAGGAAACGAATTTAGATTGGAATGCTCGGCTTGCCGCCAAAACTTATAATTGTCTTGGAGAGCAAACGTTGTAGGGCGCTGCTGTAGCGGTTGCTAAGAACAACCGCAAACAGTAACAGAAAAAAGTTTCTCTTGTCAAAGTCAGAATCTTTAAAAATTATAAAATCTTTCAAAATTTAAACCGCCCTCATTGAAAAATACCGAAAAGTGTTTAAGGCGTCCATTTTCAAAGTAATTATTGCTATCTTGTGAGTTTAATTTAAATTTTATTTACTCAAACCCTTGATAATAGTTATGAAAAAGTGGCATCAAAAACTTAAAAAGCTGTGTAAACTGTGAACTGCATAAACCATCGTGGATCGTGGCATAACGTCGGTTTCCGTTGTTTCGTAGGTATTATACCATGTGCTTATATAAAATAAAGTTTCTTATATGCAAAATACTGTATTTTATTTAAAAAATTAAAACAAAATAATAATAAATTTGAATAAATAATATTTGGGGACATAATTCCGGAAAAATCCGAACCGCTCCGAAATTACTAAAAGCTTTGGAGAGCGACCGTTGTAAAAATAGCGCCAAATAGTATTTACATTATCCTTATGGGCACTTTTCAATCTAAACTTGTTCATTTATGTATGGAATTCACCGAAAGATTAATAAATGCAACATTTATGTCATTTTAAAATGGGACAAAATATAGTAAATTCAGTAAGAAATAAAATGATCTATGTTCCACGGTAATTATAAAGTGTTAATAACCTCGAGCAATTATTGCCCTAGGGACAAAAACTTTGCCCCCGGTAATTAACACTCATTATAATTCCCTGGATACATAAATAACTATTACATGTAAACATTTATTTATGTGATATTTTTTCTATTTTCAGAGGAAAAGCCGTGCTGTGGTAGTTCAATAAAAAGCAACGGTGCTCAACAAATCTCCCCCTTCCAAAGAGTTCTAACCAAAGAAACATTAATGATAACCCCCGAAGATGTCCGAGTTCAAACTGACAGTCTATTATCAGTGGGCCGAATTGGTGATTTACGAGTGGTTGTTTTTCCCGAAGACATGAAGGCAAAACTCACATGGACTTCTCCCGATATGGGTGGACATACAGTATCACGATACGAGATTAAATATGCTAGGAATGTCGTAGACATACTGGATAGATTTGAAACATCAGCTCTACTTTGGGAAACCGGAACAGGAGCATTATATCCTATGGACCCTGGATCCGAGACAAGCTATACTATCGATATGTCCCAAAATAAAGATTTGTTAGATAAGCCACTGTATTTTGCGGTTAAATCTTATGGAACTGTAGGCTCAGAACTAGCAGGACCCATTTCAAATTATGTACGAGTTTATGTTCCTTCCCCACCCCCACCACCAACAGTAGCTCCAACTGCATCACCAAACGAACATTCGATCTGGCCCAATCACGTGAATCCTGTAGGTGCTGATTCCGTTGGACCCAGCATATCGAAACCACTCTCCTTGGGGCTAGAACTAATATTGCCAGTGGTTATCGGAATTATTTTGCTCGTTGTGCTGTTGGTAGTTTATTGTTATTTCTGCGTGGTGCGAAAAAAGGCTACAACCAATCACAAATCGGCTAAGGAGAACGCCATAAAGAAAGATAATTTGAGCTCAACTATAACAATTGTTCCTAATTCCCCGCAAAATACTTCTCCTCAACATCAAACATACCAAAGCAACGAAACCCCTGATCCTCATCAAGTTGGAGTGCCAGTGAGTAACTACGCGTACGAAGATGAAACTAAAAAAAGGTATTCTTTGGTTAATCAGCAAGAACAACAGTTAATCGAAGAACTGAAGCAACAACACCAAATCCACCAGCAGCAACGTGATAACCTCCCTCCTGCATATTCCGGCTTAAGTGTCATTTCTAACAATACCATTAATAGAAACGGTCAACCTTTAAGTCCGTACAACTCCTGGAGTGCTTCCCAGTTACTTCACGAACACGAAAGGAGATACAGTCCTATGGATAATATGATGAGCGAAGAACCGTTGATGACGCACCAAGAAGTACTAGCACAAATGGACCATATGTCAATTAACGGACAAAGTATGGATCACATGAGCGTAAACGCACACCAAATCACCGAACAGTATCCTCCTCCGGTACCTCCGCTACCAGCATTCAACAACGGAGGATATCCAGTGAATTATAATATATACGGTGTGCACCAAGCACCCTCACAACAAAACCAAATATACCAAAGCATGCCTAGATCGGAACAGGTAGTACCCTTCAACGCTAGTTTGCAGGGATCAATGAATTCAGTCAATAGCGGCGAGAAGAAACGAAGGAACGTTACGATGGTATAACAGATGGTTGTCCTCAAGACTGTGAGCATGGAGGAAAGCGAAGCCAGTACAACTTTTGTGTGAATGCGACATGTATATTGTGTATATTTTTAATATTGTAAATATTTTTGCTAGTCAGTGACTTGTATATTGGTTATTTTTCTATTGATTGTGAGTTGTTGTTAGTATTTAATACGTTTTGACTGTCTCCGTGCAAAATCTATAGAATTATTGTTCTACGTGTACATACATACATAAAACTATTTTGACGTGTTAGATTTGTAAGTAAATTTTTCTCAAAGCAAAGCCAGTACTTAGAAAAAATAGGATTACACCACTAGATGTATAGCTAGCTTAAGGCAGAGAAAAAATGCTTTTTTATTTTTTATGAAGACTGATCTCACATTGAATTTGTTTTTCTTTTCGTTACTTACGTGAGGTTTTGATTTTATATATTTTATTGTAAATATGGTGTTTAAAATTTTAAGAGACGATTTTGTACAAATAGTTTTAATTCATATGCCAGTAAATTAATTTGTACCTATATAGTTTGTTTTATTCATTTTCAACCAAACCAAACCAAACCAGTTACGTATTTTCCTTTTAATATGATTTGCATATAGGTACAATTATTAGATTTTTGGTTGATTGGAAACAAAATTGACAATGCAATAATAGAACCTGAGAAAAAGTATATAATTAAGAGTTAATAATCAGTTAAATAAATTATTTTTAAAAAAAAAACACTAAAAAATATAATTTTAGAAACAAAATTTTCAATGTTTAATCATTTGTTGAAATAGTATAAATTATGCGTCATGTAAAACCCATTCATTTTGCTTCAGAATAGACTAATATAATTGTTTTTATTTGACATATTTTGCAGTCAGTAACTTACAACACCAAACAAAATTAAACAAGATCTATTAAAAAAATAATTTTTTGAAATACTCGAAAATTATATTTATTTGAAAAAAAGAACAATTAAAAAAGAGGAAAATAAAAAACAAAAGCAACAATTTTTTAAAAAATAAAATATTTTGAAATTTAATACCTACACTGCCAACTGGCAAAAAAATAACAAATTAACATTTAAAGGCTACAGGAATCTGCATAAATATTGATTAGGTAAATGTTGAATATAAGACTTTGAGAAAATAAAATAGCTCCTAATCCTAGATAGCAGCCCAGGAAGAAAACGATAAGTCTCAAAGCTTTCTACGTCTCAGCTCTTTAAATATAAGAACAATTAAAAGAGATGAAAGAACAATTAAAAAAGAGGAAAACAAAACAAAACAAAAGCAACAATGTTTAAAAAAATAAAATATTTTGAAATTTGATACATACACTGCCAACTGGCAAAAATATAAGAAATTGCCATTTAAAGGCTACAGGAATCTGCATAAATATTGATTAGGTAAATGTTGAAACTAAGACTTTGAGAAAATAAATAGTTCCTAATCCTAGATAGCAGCACTGGAAGAAAACCATAAGTCTCAAAGCTTTCTACATCTCAGCTCTTTAAAAATAAGAACAATTAAAAGAGAAGAAAGAACAATTAAAAAAGAGGAAAAGAAAAAAAAAAGAAAAAACAAAAGCAACAACGTTTTAAAAAATAAAATACTTGGACATTTGATACATACACTGCCAACTGGCAAAAATATAAGAAATTAACATTTAAAGGCTACAGGAATCTGCACAAATATTGATTAGGTAAATGCTGAAACTAAGACTTTGAAAAAATAAATAGCTCCTAATCCTAGATAGCAGCACAGGAAGAAAACGATAAGTCCCAAAGCTTTCTACGCCTCAGCTCTTTAAAAATAAGAACAATTAAAAGAGAGAAAAGAAAAATTAAAAAGAGAAAAACAAAAAAAGCAAAAACAAAAACATTTTTTAAAAAAATAAAATATTTTGAAATTTATTACATACACTGCCAACTGGCAAAAATATTAGAAATTAACATTTTAAAGCTACAGGAATCTGCAAAAGTATTGACTAGGTAAATAATGAAACTAAGACCTTGAGAAAATAAATAGTTCCTAATCCTAGATGGCAGCACATTAAGAAAACGATAAGTCTCAAAGTTTTCTACGTCTCAGCTCTTTGAAAATAGATGTCGCTTTCTAAAAATTTATCAGTGGGTATATGCAACTAACAATACAAGTAACATTAACCACCATTAACTATAAACAGAAAAGTAGAAATTTACTTAGATTTGAAATATTTTATGCTGAATTTTTCAGTTATATAAATTAATAAAAATATACCACTATATAAAAGGGATAAAATCTAATTAAATAAGAAACTTTAACAACAATTTTATTAAAAAATTACCAATTGAAAGGGTGTTTGATATTTAAAAGAGACTTAAATAATAACAACTCTTTAATTTTCGTATAAGTTTTATTTAGAATAAATATTTATATATAACATGGTACAAATAAAACATATCAATATATACAGATAGTACACCCGAAGTGTATTTTAATATTTTAATAGTTATATCAACAATTATTTTACTATGACGATTTAAAAATTTCAATCAACAACTCCTGGTTTACCTAAAAAACATAAACATGCTACTGCAACGGGAAACAAACCAGAAATATTATTTAAGTATAACCGCCTTGGCACATTATTATTGTTATTGGCTATAAACAAAATAATGCTATAAAACATAACATCATATTTTCCAAATGTTCCTTATATATTAATGTATATGGGAATAATAAAAAAACTACAGACTTGTTGAATGTACTTAAAGTTGAGTTAGTTTTATTCCTGTAAAGTGGGACATTTTATACTGATAATTAAAGGCATTTATAAAATAACATTGAACGTAATGTATACAAAATTATGTTTAGTGTTGCATTGGATATGTAGGACATTTCTTTTTATATTATAGGTAATATTTTTTTCGGATATCAAATATATCTAAACTTATATTTTACTAACTGAACAATAATTGTTTTTATAATAATTATTTATTAACAAATTAGAACTTTCATTGGTGTATTTGATTATTTCTATTAGTAATAGAAATTATTCCCTACAAATATAACAAAACAAAAAAGAAGAAAAAGTTAGAAATTTATTTTTAAATCATGTGTTTAATGAGTTCTGATCTCATGATTCTTTAAGATTTTGATGGTCAAACATCAACAAAATATCCTTTATGTTTGGACAAAATTTTCTCAAAGATAAAGACATAATAATTTAAAATTCCGTTACAATACGAAAAGTTTTGTGATTTCGGCGATAATATAATTTATATGGTTTTGTAACAAATTGCTGGCTATTTTATGGCAAATGCTGAAGCTCTACAAACCTTAATCAAGCCTTAACAAAGCACGTGTGTTTGGAATTTTGGATGTGGCTTAACACGACAGGATCGGGCTAAGCCTTAGGCAGATTTCTGAAATACACACTCGCTTTACCCGACCCCTGAGAACGACCCAAAAGTACAGCGTAATAGACTCTTGACTGTTACAGAGTGGTATATCAGACACCTAGCGCTCAACATTCCTCTATATTTTGTAAATGCCTGCAATAAGTGTAATAATTATAATTAATTAGGATGCTAAGTCACAAAAATGATTAAATAAAGTTAAATTGATTTAAGTCTTTACAAAAATGTCTTGACTTCAATTAAAATGATTTAAGAAATGCTAAAGACTTTTAGTAGTGACTTAAATCATTTGAACTTTATGTTGAATTTGACTTAAGAATTAAATCATTTTAATCTTAGAAATAACTTAAGACTTAATTTTATTTTAAAACTGACTTGTTGCAGCTCTGGCGATGGATTTGAAATAAATTCCTGCGAATCATATTTTTTTAAATTATGGAAATATTGACCACGTGTTCTGTAAATGTATTGTTTTCAAAATATTAGGCAACAAAATCTCCTAATCCAACCTACTAATAAATGCATAAATTTGGACAGCTAACTGTAGAGGGAATAATAAGCTAACTTATAGGTTAGTGTGGGTTTAAACTAAGGTTCTTCTTGCTTGTCGAATCTTGTAATTTAGATAAATTAATAATTCTTTTAGGGTAATGGCACGGCATATAAATCACACGGCAGGCCGACTCGCTTTGGCGGGAACGCTACGCGCATATCCTCGCGCACGCCGCCATTTGCGTTTCCATCAACAGAAAGTAACCAGTGTCGTAGTTTTTTCAGCGACAACACACAGTTACGGCAGATTCGGGTCAGTAGCGTGCGACTTAATTTATTTTGATTTTTCTTGAGTGATATATTTTGTTTTTGTTGTTTTATTTTTGTTTATTATGTGATATATTTGGGTTTTCTAGTTTTATTTTCGTTTCTTATGTATTATAATTGCTAAAAGGTGCCCGGTGGCGTAGAGGTACAGGCTCTCGTCTACCAATCTCAAGGTAGTGGGTTCGAATCCCACACCCGGCATTTCATCAGCCGACAATTTTTATTAAAATAAAATAGTTTGGGTACCTAGGTCGACTCAGCCTTAAATGAGTACTTGGGATTCACAATCCTGAGGTAACGCGAAATTTCGAGAAACAATAGGCGGTTGAAGCGTAGTGCTAGCCACATTACCTTCCTTTGTATACCGAACGGCTCTAGTATGGGAAGCTGTACCTTGCTACTCCCAAGGCGTCAAACGCTATATACGGGAGCTAGTATTATTATAATGTAATATAATTTGTTTTAGTAGTTTTATTTTTGTTGTTCAAGAAAAGTTTCTTTCTGTTTCCTAGAGATCCTATTAGGTTTGTATATATGTGATTAATTATTTTAACATATTTTAGTTGTGAAAAAAAAACAGTAGTATACATATTAGGACATTCAGCTAAATAGGAAGATCTAATTAAAAATTTTAACAAACTTTAATATTAGTAAGATTTAATGTTAAATATTTAGTAAAATTTAATGTTGTATCTAGACATTAAAAACTAAATTTAAAAATCATTATACTATTAATTTAATTATAATTATAAAAGTAAATAAAATGAGTATATCTAAAATAAGTTAACAATACATTTTGAATATATAAATAAGGCCCACAAAAGGTACAAGTTGCGTTCTGTTCATTTTGAATTTAAAATGTTTACCAATTCACTTTGTAACCGTATAAAATACAATGCGGTACCTACTTTGTTTCCTGCCATGAAAAAAATAGAAGTTTCTCAAAAAAATTGTGGATTTATTAATTTGTGAAATTTGAATATTAATAAAATTTGCTACGCCCATTGATGGGCATAATTTGTACGTAGCCTCTTTATATTGTTCAATAAACATTTTATTGGTATTTCTTTAATTCTTGTTTTTTAATTTTAATTGTCTATTCTCTACAGTGAAATATTTAATTGATTTTTTTCATTTTTACTTGTCGAGAAGTATGCGCGGTTAAGGATTCATTTGTTTGGACAAAAGTATTGTGTAAATAAAATTCAGTTTCAGTCAATTACGGTATTTTTTTTAATACGACCTTGTCGTATTTTCTGAGAAATTTTTTGATACGTTTTAATCCGGCCCTGACTAGGAAACGATAATGGCTCCGTCAAGGTCAAATTTTATAGAAATTTTAAACAAAGGAATCTGAGCAGAGTTGGCGTGCCGATTGTTTTATGTGCCGTGGTAATGGCATGCTTTGGATAATAGATATTTTTTGTAGGTGTACTCTTTGTAAACATGGCTGAATGCGTTTGATTTATTTTTTTAAATATTTTTGTTACGGATCATAATTCCAAAAAATACACCTTCAAAAATATAAATTAATAATTTGAGTAAACACACTAAAGTGTAGTAAGTAATAGATATCCGAAGCTCATGGGATTTACGGTCGAAGCCATATGAGAGGGGTTCAGAAGTGAAGTTGGTCAAGTCCTAGGAGATAATTAAAGGGAAAACGAGAGTTAAATTTTTTTAATGTTACTTAATTAACTAACTAAAATAACTCAAAATACAACTGTGGCCATTTTTAAGAATGTTTGTTTATACTTTTTTAGACTGGAACCATTTTATCCCTGAAAATATTTGAAATTCTAGATATACATTGCTTCATTGGTACATTCTTCTTCGTCATTAAGCGATTTGTTGACTTCACATTGTATCTTAATAGTCTTTTCTTCGATTTTTATAAAAATTATGGTATATAGGCGGGATAAAAGGAAGATCTTCCATGTGTTGCCTTTTAGAGTGTGTTACGTTACCTCTATATAAAATGATAAGATTTTTCTTCCTCGTGCAGTTTTATTCAAATCAACATGTCAGATATCTATGTATTTGTAAAAAAAAACTGGACTTAATTCATTTTAATTCAGACCACTCCAAATATGTGGATTTTGTAAATCTGAAGGAGAAACGACAGAACACATTGCCAAAAGCCTGGCAAATGTGAGGTTTTTTGTACTAGGTAATGATAACCATTTGACAAATATCTATATGAAGGTTTCAGTCTCCAAATTGCTAGACTTTTTTATTAACAGGATAGGATTGAAGAATGTAACCTAAGCATCAGAAGAGGACGCATGCTGTTGGTTAGCTTTGACTAGAAGTGTAATTATCTATATCGAAGCCAATAGGAATTTTACTATGTCTGTTAAAATTATCTTGTATGATGATTATGTTGGACTCCTGCTACCAGGAATGTTCTAAATAACACAAAAAGTTCTAAATTGTTATCATTTAGTAAATCAAAGTCATAAAAGCGTTCAGTTAGTAAAATTTCAGCTCTATTACAAGTTCAATTACAAAACAAAAAATATCAACAAATCCGTTATCCTTCAAAAAATACCCTTCCCTACACCGGCGTAGTCCTTCGCATCGGATCACTTTCGTAGTTCTTCCTCGACGACGATCCTCCGCCTCTCGAGCTGATGCTCACGATGCTCTGAGCCCGGATAGGCAGCGGCTGGTCCAGGTCGAACGTCACGAACTCGTGCTGGACGCTGGGCGAGTAGTCGCCGAAGAACGGCTCGGGTAGCTCGTCCACGTTGACGTCCGCCGTCGTGGATACGGTGTTCATGGTGTTGACGGTGACGTCGCGGGGCATGCCTCGCTCCACGCGGCTCTGGTAGTGCTCGTCGAACTGGTAGGATATCGTGGGCGGCGGGGGGAAGTCGTAGAAGGAGGTGGCCACGTCCTTGAGGGAGGGTGTGGACTGGTGGAAGCGGGAACGGTGCAAAGAGCAAGGCGATTCGTGGGATTGCCCTTTCGGTGATACTGGATATCTAAGTGCAAATAAAAATAAGCATGATTGTTCAAATATTTTATAAAGCTTCATTTAGAACCTCGCAATTAGTGGAATAAATTAGTGGTTTCAATTAAACTTCATACTTTTTAGTTTACGATCATTCACAATGTTTAAAAAACACAATTAAAATTAATAGAATATCCTAGCAACAGCTTGCGTTAGTCAGTTGTATCCATAGAGAAAGCCTAATATTTAGCTTATAAACTTTTTCTACTAATTGGATATGTCTACTACTAATTTTGACGTTCTGAATGCTTACATTGAAATTAAAGGAACACACTTCTACACTAATTGAAACCAATAATTTATTCCACTAATTCGAAGGGTCTGAATGAAGCCTAATATAGAAAATTTTAACGCGGGTTGACCACGATTCAGCTGTACTTGGACCAGCTATATTTGGATAATGCCATGTAAGTATATTGCTATGGATGTTGAACGTTTTTTACTTAAACGCTGCTAGTATCATATAAACTGTTTTATCCAAGTCGAGTTGCAAAGTTAGCGAGGTCCCACTGATATGGACACTACGAAACTTTCCAACTCGACTTTGATAAAAGAGTTCATACCTTAGATGTTGATATCATAAAAACAGCCCGTGTATTTGATCCAAGTATACTTTATTTTTTTTATTTTTACTTTACAGTATTTTGGAATTTTAAAGTTCAGAGTTGAAATTTAACATAATTTACAGGTTGGTTCGAACTGTATTCCGGAAAGTTCAGTAGCATATTCTGCAGATAAAAATAAGTAAAAAAGTTCGTATAAATGTATGTTCGAAAAAGCTTAGTTTCGCAGATACAGGGTGTAGAAGTTTCATTTTTATTTTGATTTTTTCCAAATAATTTAATAAGTAACGTCAATATTTTGATGAAAAGTGGTGTCAGATTTTTGATATGAGAAATTTGATTTTGATGTCAATATGACTCCTATTTGTAGAGGGTGTCACCTACGTGTTTTTTAACTGTTTTGAAGAGTAATAACTTTTCGTCCGTTCCTGTATAACACTACTGAATGAAAAAAATGTACATCTCCATGACTTTTTACGTAAAAATGTTTCTTAGTAAAAATCGTTACGAGCAACAGTCCTCAAGATATTTAGAATGGAACTAGTCAATGCATATCATTATTATTGACAAAAATTAAACACGTTCAGTAGATAGTGATTTGACTGAAATAAAATAAATTTGGGAAATTTTTATTTTTTAAATTAATCATAATTTTTTCTGCGAAAAAATGATGATAAAACAGTTTCTGTTGAACTTTTCGCACAAGCACATTTCAAATTTATGAATTCAGTCTAATAACAATTTAGTAAACATCATGTTTAATTTATGTCACTGATGACAGGTAATGATAATTTCGATTCCAAATATCTCCAGAACCATTACTCGTAGCGACTTTTACCAAAAGACCTTTTTTAAGTAAAAAACGTCGTAAATGTACATCTTTTACTCAGTAGTTTTATTCAGGTACGGACGAAAAGTTATTACTTTCAAACCAGTTAAAAAATATGTAGGTGGCGCCCTCTCCAAGTAGGAGTCATATTGACATCAAAATCAAATTTCTCATGTGAAAAAACTTCCAGACACCAATTTTCATCCAAATATTGACGTTACTTCAGAAATTATTTAAAAAAATCGAAATAAAAATGAAACTTCTACACCCTGTATCTCTGAAACTAAGCAATTTTATTTATTTTTATCTGCAGAATATGCTGCCGAGTTTTCCGGAATACAGTTCGGACCACCTTGTATACTTTAATTCAGTTATTAGCAGAACTGAAAGAAAAACATAAATTTTTAAATACAGCTAATTAATCAAATTATTTTATAGAAATTTTATTTTTGCGTTGAACACAATGTTTATTTATTAGGATTATTGCTACATTTTTGAATAAACATTTTTAAAACATCAGAATATGAAGTAAAATATTATTTATTTTTAAAATGAAACAAAGATTTTAAAAATTGACTACACCATATTGTCAACAATATATTTTATCAGAATAAACCAACTAAATGCATTTTTATTAAAAATTTAAAATTATTAATATATTTTGACTCGAATACATATACGAATAAATAAATGCCCATTTTTAAAAATTAAAAGTAAATAAAACTTTATAAAAACTATTTCACCATATTGTCAAGAATTATATGGGAGTAAAAGCCCTGCGGCCTGTGGTCGAGTCTGTAGTAAAAGCATGCAGCTGTTTCCAAAATATAATTTTCAAATACAAACCAAAAATTTACAGTATTTTTGTAAGATTTGTTTTTATTACATTTAAAATTATTATTTCTTATAATAAATAATTATTTTTTATGCAAATTTTTGCATAGTATTGTATAGATTTTGTAGCCCATTAAATAAATTATAATTTCAGTTGAGTATTTATTAAATTAGATTGTTAGAAAAATTAAAGGGGCGCAACATTTTTTTTAAACGGGAGCGCAGGTACAAAAAGTTTGGAAACCACTGCCTTAGACCCTTTAATTACTTTGAAAACATAATTTAACAGATGAGATTTATAAAACAAACTTCGTCATACTGTCAAGAATAATTTTTCTCAGAATAAATCTATTGGATTTATATTGTCTATTTAACAATATTTATTTATTAGTGGTACCTCGCAGATACACTATTTAATTACTATTAGAATCTTAAAAATTCATTATTATTAGAATTTTAATTAAAACAATAAATTACCTTAGTTAATCCTTTGTTTCTTTTTTAGTGAATGTAATTGATATTTTCTCAAACTGTTATTAGGTTTAAATTAAATTTTACTGTTCCAAAAAAAATAATTTACCTGTTTCTCGCAGGACTCCTGGGAAACGTAACCGTACTGTTAGAATTAATATAATAATAAGGATGTTTCCTACAAGGATAATCCATGGAAACCGGAGGCTCCAATATCCTGTTCAAACTAACTATCGATGGTGGAGTATTCCCTTTCTTTAGTTCATCATATTCTTTCCGTTTCCAATGATATTGCACTCTGAAAACAGATCATTAAAATTAGTATTTATTTAGAGTTTATAATTTATTAGATATTACCTGTACATAAACAGAAAAACACAGCCAATACCAGATATTTTCGTGGAAAATAATCCTATTATGTACAGTAAAAATGAATAACCATATTGGTATTCAAATAAGGGAGGGCTGATTTGCGACTGAGGTCTCAACTTGATGCCAACCTCTGCTTTGAACACTGATATATACACAATTAGTCCTAGTAGCATTAATAAACCTAAAAAATGGGATATAATTAGTATATTCTCAAGCAACTAACTTAACAAAAACTATACAGATATATCATAAAAGTGTTATTTCATGATGTGTTTTCCATAACTACCATCAGTGCTAAAACCTCCACCATATTATTAAAAATAATAAATTATCAAATCAAAACAAAAATTTAATTAGCAAATAAAATAAAATAACTTACCTAATAGAAAGAAAAAATAAATAAACTTACCTAATTAAATAAAGATTTAAAATAACTGAATAATTGAAACAAAAAAAAACACATTATTGTACATACATATATCTGAAAAATCGTCAAATCATGTTGTCTTTGCAATTTAGGTTAACTTTTGTTTAATATTCTATTTATTATATTTTATAAATGTTGAATGGAATAGAAGATTAAACATGTGTCCACTATTTAAAGAGAACTAAATTGAATTAGAAAAAACAACCACAAAAAAACTACTAAATATTTATTTAATTTTGTTCAAGCAGCAAAAATTATCTTCTACCTAGCATAACTGCAACTATCTTTCAGGAATGACATAAAATTATAAAATAATAATAAAAATAATGATTTTATAAAGAAAAAAAATAACTTGTATAAGCAACCAAATTAATAAAAACCAAACTCTCTCAATGAATGCACAATTAAACAAATATTCATGTCATATTTTACAAATCGTTTCATGTCGCGCGGTCGAATTGTTATAGTGTCATAAAATAAATTATCCTTGGCCATTTTGTCAAGAACAGAGTGGGTGTATTACCAATTATTTTTTTAATCTTCTATTTATTATATTTTATAAATGCCTGAATAGAAGAATAAAAATATGTTCACTATTTAAAGAGAATTAAATTGAATTAGAAAAAATAACTACAAAAAATGCTAAATATTTATTTAATTTTGTTCCAACAGCAAAAATTATCTTCAATCTAGCATAACTGCAACCATCTCGTCAGGAATTACATAAAATAATAATAAAAATAATGATTTTAGAAAGGAAAAAAGAAAAATAACTTGTATAAGCAAAACTAAATTAACAAAAACGAAACTCTCTTAATGTATGGACATTCAATGAATGCACATTCAAACAAATATTCATGTCATATTTTACAAATCGTTTCATGTCGCGCGATCGAATTGTTATGGTGTCAGAAAATAAACTTTCCTTCGCCATTTTGTCAAGAACAGAGTGGGTGTATTACCAATTATTTTTTTAACCTTCTATTTATTATATTTTATAAATGCCTGAATAAAAGAATAAAATTATGTTCACTATTTAAAGAGAATTAAATTGAATTAGAAAAAATAACAACAAAAAATACTAAATATTTATTTAATTTTGTTCCAACAGCATAAATTATCTTCTATCTACCATAACTGCAATCATCTTGTCAGGAATTAGATAAAATAATAATAAAAATAATGACTTTCAAAACAAAAAAAAAAGAAAAATAACTTGTATAAGCAAAACTAAATTAACAAAAACGAAACTCTCTTAATGTATGGACATTGAATGAATGCACATTCAGACAAATATTTTACAAATCGTTTCATGACGCGCGATCGAACTATTATTGTGTCATAAAATAAATGTTCCTTCGCCATTTTGTCAAGAACAGGGTGGGTAAATACATTACGTTTTAAAATTATAAATACACGAACTTTCTTGTTTTGATTTTACAAAATTAATATCATTAAATATTAATGGACCTGTAATGACCTATTAAAATAACATAAATTATTATATAAAATTACAAACATATTAAAACCGCCACAATATTTTTAAAATAAAATAATTAAATTTACAAATCTTTTGCAGCGTAAATGCAAAAAATGCATATATTCAATTAGGAAAAACTAAATTAACAAAACTTCCTCAATGTTATAATTAAAAAACAGAAGATTAGTATTTATTTATATTAAGAAAATTAGTATAGATTAATTAAAAAATAATTTAAAATATTCCTTCACCATTTCATCAAGGTAATGTAATATTTTAAATAATACAACTATTAATTTATCATAATATATATAAAGCGTATTTTTAGTTTTGGTTGGTGAGAGGCAAGGATACTATAGAGATAAGGATAGTTCGATTCCTATCTTCCTGCACTGTCAGTTACTGACCGAGTTGAAGTTGGCGCTAAAGATTTTAGACAGTGACAGTTATTTTTGCATTTGACGGACGAGCGCACAGTGCGTTGGAAGATAAATTTAGCGGGACAAAAGCGTTTGGTTAGAAATAAGCCATAAAATGTGTACTGATAAGAATAAATAGTTGTTCTGCAGATATCAAACTTTCACTTTTTTTTCAAATATCGATATATTGAATGATGTAGATCTTTTGAGTTACCAATAGTTACCAACACAGGTAGTCACAGTCGCAGGGAGTTCAAGCTTAACAGGTGAATGCCCAAAAAGATTCATTTCAATCGGATAATATAAAAACAAAACAACTCCATCAAAAGGCACTGAATTTAAAAAATTGTCTTAGATACTTACTATATATGAATTTACAATTATCGAGTGTTAAAATTAAAATTAAAATATCTATCTTATTTATTATTTTCAAAATAAAATATATTTTTTTTTTAAATAAATTATAGAGGGTGTCACAAGATTACAAATTAATTAAAAAAAACTGCTAAAGAGTTTTTTGATATCATAATTTTATGTATTTGGCAATAGTTTACAATACGATTTTTGTGTGTCATGTACAAATAATATCATAGTTTTATTATCTTGTATTTATTTATTAATAAATTAAGTTGTTAATAAATAAATAAATTTAACCCTATAGTTGCTATATATTAGACTATTTGCTACGTTCTTAGATTTTAAGTCCCAAACATTGCTCTCGAGATTTTGTCCCGCTAGAATAACCATCCGCCGCACTATGGAGCGCTGGTCGGCACGTGACGTAGCATTCCACGGCGACTACGACAGCGGCGATTTGACGCGATCGAACAGTCCTTTAGAATATATACAGTCCTTGGGCGAGAGGTAAGTTTTGAAAATAATAGAAATTATAATATATGAAACACTAATATCAAAACAGAAACCTCTAGGATATACGTATAATAACTACGAGAATAATTATAAAAAGATCTTTAAATTGAATTTAAATGTGAGTTAAATTTGTAGAGTTTTTTTAGGTTTAGAACTCAATAAACTTTAAAAACTGATATTCAACTCATTTTTTTAATTATTTTTGATAAACTAAGAAAAAAAAAGACACATTTATACACTCACACTCACTGCAAATTTTAAGAGGGCCTAAGGTATCCTGTTATTTATTTAGTCTATAATTATTCACTTTTTCATATAAAGTTAAAACAGTATAAAACTTTGTTTAACTTAGGTTTGACCACAGACTATTATAGGTTTGATATATTTAAAAAATTAGTCAATTTGAAGGCAAAAATTTGTTAAATATCAAAAAATGTATTTATTACTTATATTTCGTACATATAGTATCGGATGGTAAAAAAAGGCGTCAAAGAGGGCTGGGGAATGACAATCGATAATAATTTTGGCGAGGTCAATCTATAGATGTCATTTATTAAAAATTGACATAAAATATTTTTTTCAAACTTTCAAGCACACCATATAAAAGTCATTTTTACTTAATATAAAAATAAATTACAACCTTCTAAACGCCAATAAAAAATAAGGAATAATACGGGTCAAGTAAATGACGTCCAGACCCAAGTAACATTTTTCGGAGCCTAAAGTTTTATTAAAAGGTAACGGGTATTTATAAGAGGTTTATAAGGAACCTTAACATTTATAAGAGTGTTTAAAGTCTTATAAGAACACTTAAAAGTTTTGTAACACCTCGAAAAAATACCAAAATACTTGAAGTTTTATAATATTGCATCCAAAATGTTTTCATTACCTTATTTATAAAACCTTTGGTGTTGGTTACTTAAGGTTTTTTTAAGCGTTCTTAAAAATCTTATTATAAAACTTTTACTCTTGGGGTTTTATAGCTTACTTCGTAAAACCCTTATAAATTTTAAGGCACCTAATAAATATTCTACAGTTACTACAAAACCTAAAGAATTTTATAAAACTTATAAGCCCAGTAGCAACTCCTTTCATGTGTAGAATAGGGGGCGCTATATTTTTAAGGTTAGGTTATGTTTTATGTTCCTGTTTTGCTTTTGTAAATTAAAGATGGAAGAAGAAAGAAAAAACTGGAAAAAAGGTATATACAGCAGCAGTTTTTATAGAAAGTGCGTTAAAACCCGTGAAAATATTTTGGGAAGCACACCACCCACAACTACTAAAAACTACCAAAACTTAGACGTTCCTCAAGAAGATATATTGCCAAATAATTCGACTGAATCGTGTAGCGTTTTTTAAACAACTACCACTGCGAACGGCAGCTTTTCATCGGAGAGCAGTCGTGGATAAGGTATTTCACTAGAGAGAAAATTAATCAATAATAATAAACAAAAGATATATAGATATTGGGCGCCAGGCATGTACAGAGAAAGAAAACACAGTTGTATAATACTTAAAACTAATGACTATATTTATTCGTGATGAATTCTGATGGTAAATAGCATTGTACAATTAATATAATTATTATAGTGGTTACTTGTTGAGTAAAACTATATATGTAAATAATATTAAATACGTTCTATGAAAAGACTATAAAGAAAATACAATGCGTGTAACGTTATAGAAAATATAGGAAAAGTAGCATTACTTTATTTAAATTGTTAAATTTATACGGTGTTAAATCAGATGTGTTGCAACCTGTAGATTCTAGAATCTATCTCGTTATTCATCTGTTAGTATAGCGTAATAATAATGTCTATAGAAAGTAATACTATTACAATGCGTGATATTATGAAATCTAAAATCTAAATCACACTTTTACTACTGCATCGACATAAATATCCTTAATAATCTAACCACTAAATATAGTCTGTACGCTATTGTTTAAAATGTACGTTACTGTTTAAGACTGAAAACATTTTAGATGTTAAATGCAAAACTAGAACTTAAATATACACTTAGCTGTTCTTTTATGTAACCCTGCTTCAAACAGTAGCAGCGCGAGGAGGTCTAGCATCTCTGTACTGTCTGTCGGCGATCCAGGCTTAGAAATGGGGGTGAAGCAGCACGGGGCTCAAGCCACATCCACGCTGGGGCACTCTATGTGTAAGACAAATCAATCCTACTGGGGACACTTGTCCATGGGACATCCGTCCATAAGATAGTGGCACAAGAGAACACTACTAGGACCTTGAAAAATAGTCCATACCTTGGACACTTGTCCGTAAGACAATGTCCGTCCGTAAGACCCTAAGAACACGAAACTCTTGTTTAAAATCAAACACCGTCTAATAAACAAAATGAACCTACCTCGAAATACTTCCGAGGGCTCAATAAATAATAAACAATCTGTCCTTTCTTCCAAATGACATTCTGGAGGACAAAAGCAAAGGGACGCCAACGTGCCAGCCAAATACAAATACAAGTTGGGACATCCGTAACTCTACCCTAAAAATATTCACTAATATTATCGAATCTAAAAGGAAAATAACTCAGCTTTACCTGTAGCTTCGAAATGGCAGCTGATTCAGATAATACAGCCAGATTTAAATGACCACCATTTCTCAACACTGGGACTAATGGCGTCTAAGAGGCCGAACAATCCAACCAAAAGTGAAGTTAGATCACAGAGAATTGACAGAAGCGATGTTGACAGCGCGCGCTCCCACAGAGCGATACCATAAATCCTTACAGCCGTAGCTACTGACTAGGCTTATAGCTGGGAACGTAAAAATTGCGCGTCAAATAAACTATCCGGCTTGAACGAGAGGGAATCCGGTGATGATAGGCCAGACATCATATATCATATGTAAAAAAGACATGTAACGAACTAAAAACGTTACAATCGACTGCCACTGATGATGAAGGAAGGAGCGAAGGACCTTTGGAAGAATGTATAGATATCAGGGAAAATTGGTCAAAGACGGTGTTGATTTTCCATCCTCTGTGGACAATTTTGATGTGCATTGAAGGGCTTTGTTTTAATTATTTAGATTAAAAGATTGTTTTGCAAAAGCCAAAACGCCCGAAACAAAGTGGGGTTATGGTCAATGGTCAAGTTTCTATAAATACCTTTTTGGTAACTAATAAAACTATTAAGTATCACAAAAGCACCTAAGGTTTTATGGCAAGAGCAAAATTCCCACCTAGGGAAGTGTTATAAGAGTTTTTAAGGTGCTGATGATTACTTAAAGGTCCATATAAAACTAGAGGTTTTTAAAAGGCGAAATGGCGAACATGACGTCCTTTGACAAGACGGCCATTTTATGTTTCTGTTGTTGTACTCAGGGGGGTGACAGTAAACCGGAAAATTGGAAACAGTTGTGGCGCCGTTCTACCCAGGCAGAAAGCATGGCCTTCTAGACTGTCCTAGACAAAAATCTGAATATTTCTATATGATTTCTGTCAATTTCTGCTACGGAACATTTTTATGCCGTCGGCGTCCTGTTCTTTTGTCTTTTGTCTGTGTGTCAGCGTCAGCTCCCGAGGCCTCTGGCAAGGTCGGGCGCCATTTTAATTTTTGCCGTTTAGATTTGATTGGAAGGTTGTTTCTGATATTTCGGCTGAAATTTATAAGTACAAAGATGTTTTTTGGTATAAAGTTCCTTGTTAACACTCTAATAAAGTATATATGATATTAATTACATGAAGAAAATGATGAAATCGACGTTTCTGCGTGTAATAGGTATGGGCCATATTATATGTAAAAATAGATAATATGTTAACTGTTTTTATATTTTTTTAGCTTTAAACCCAAGGATTTTGGGATATTCTTTGCCAAGGATTTTTCCGTATCTCTCCTTTAAAGACTGATCGGTGATTTGAAAGCAATTGAAAGCAAGTTATACAAGGTAAATTATGATTATTGAACTATTATTAGCCTATATTAATTTTCTACAAGATGAACAGAAATGCGTGATTACATATCACATAGGTACCTATTATGTATTTTCATAGCAATAATGCTATAAATCTATGTATGTAGATTATTTTTAAAATACAAATGAGGTATTAGATGTATATGTATTATATTTTTTATTCATTTTATTTTCATTCAAGTCCTGTTTGATTTAATTCACAAAAGTCTTATGTACCTATATTTATATTTTTTACATATTTTTTTGATTCCAGGTTTTGTGTGGGTTCCGGATGCCTTTTTCCTGCTTCCAGTTATTTAGTTTTATGCCCGTGAAGCTGTGAAAACATTTATTTATCTTCAAGTTTCTGTAAGTCAATGCACTGTTACTTTACTAATTCAGTTTAACACAGCATCTCTGATATTATTTAAATATTTGATATTGATACAGTAGTTTATTGGATTATAGCTCTTTAATTGTGTTGATTTGCATATTTACATTCTCTAAATTCCAAATAAATATTTTGAGTAATTTTGTTGTATTATTTACTACTAGAAAGAGTAAAAAGTATATTAACCCTCATTTAAACCTCCTGAACAGCCCGCCATTAAAAACCGGAAACGGAAATAAATTTCATAAAATTGAAATTGTCATGTCTATGTCATGTCAAATGTCCCAGCCGCCATATCTGAAAATTAGTTACCCAGGCAGCCACGCTGTTTCCATAATTTAACATTGACTTGACACTTCTTCTTGTATTTATTATTTTATGGTTGTACTTACACAAAAAAGAAGAATACTGCTTTTTAAGGAATATTAACGAAGCTTTAAGACGTATTTTTTCAAAAGCATGAGGTTAAGTTTGGTAATGTTGCGCAGTTTATTTGCAAAAAAAACAAATCATGAGACGTAATTTTAATTTTTTGGTTTTTACAAAATAAATTATATTTGTGTTCTAAATCGAGGCGCTTTAGTTTTAAAAAGGGTAAAATGTTAATATTACTAGATAAATCTTCCGTGCCAATAAAATTTAGTCCTCATAGAATTCTTACAGAGTATTTAATTTGTTATGATAATTATTATAATACGCCATTTTCATCAAAGTGAAAATCCATTGCTGTCAACTTTAAAGTACAAGCAGAATAATAATGACAAGGACTTGAAATAGAATATATTGCAAACAAACGTTGTAGAAAGAGATGAACTAAAAAGGGGCGTTTTTTATTTTGGTGTTTATAAACACCGTAAAGATCAGGAAGTTTATAATAGCTATTATAAGGAATATTAAAGGTTTTAAAGCGGTAACGAAAATGTATTCCTTGCCGCTATAAAACTTATTTGTGGTTTATAAAGGTAACGACAACCTCTTAGTTACCAATAAATGGAGAGTAAAGGTCACGCTAAAGGTTTTATAAGGTACTAAAATTTGGTCACCGTTACCTTTATAAGATTCTCCATTTAAGTGCTATAGGGGTGTTATAAGGGTAACGAAAACGTTTCGCGAACAATTGATAAGCTCTTAGGTTTTATTAAGTAGGTTACCGAAACGTAACCATTACCATTATAAAACAAAAAATGTTAGTTGGGGAGCTTGACCTCGCCGAAATTATCATCGATTGTCATTCTCCAGCCGCCTTTGATGCCGTTTTTTTCGATCGTATGTTACTTTTCTTAATAAATTAAATTAATAAAAATTACCTGTAAAAATAAATAATAATCCTGAAACAAACGTATAAATTCCTCTATATCGCACGCATTGCCCTAATAAGCAGCATACAAAAGCTGCTAACATTAGACAGCTCGCCAATAAAAAAAATATCGCCGATTTTGAGACGACATCTGAAAATAATAATAATTAATTAACTCAAATGGCATAAAAATTAATACATTAAGTATTAAGTACTTACATGGGATAACTAATGTTGAGTCTTGTGGATCGGGACTGTAGTCTTGAGCAAAATAGTCAATTCTCCTGCAGTAGAAGTGTGTTTCCCCAGCTGAAACAAAATTAAAACATTTCATTAATATAACATAAAACAGTTTTTTGCAAAAATAGATTGTTGATTTTCAACAAATCAAGAAATAATAACCTGTTCTAAAAATAATCTAAAGTTCTTCTCGTTTCAGGAATAGATATTCTTTCATTATGATTCTTGCAATAGTAGCTTAATATCCATAAAGAGGTAATAATATTAAAGTAAATTGAATTTTTCAATTATGTATGTATATGTTGAGTTACTTTTGTAACAAACCAGTAATCTTAGTTATTTTTTATGAATATTTCTAATTTTAATACGGTATGTTATTGCCTATTACACAGGGTGGTCCGAACTGTAATCCGGAGTGTATCCGGATTATATTAGTTTCGGAGATAGAGAGTGTAGAAGTTTCACTTTTATTTCGATTTTTTCCAAATAATATCTGAAGTAACGTCAATATTTGGATGAAAATTGGTATGGGTGATTTGGTTTGGTTGGTTTTTACATGAGAAATTTGATTTTGATGTCAATATGAGTCCTACTTGTAGAGGGCGCCACCTACATATTTCTTAACTAGTTTCAAGAGTAATAACTTTTCGTCCGTACCTGTATAAAACTACTAGGTAAAAAATATATATTTACGATGTGTTTTACCTAAAAAAGGTCTCTTGGTAAAAATTGCTATGAGTAATGGTTCTCGAGACATTTGGAATCCAAATTATCAATAGCTGTCATCATTGACATAAATCAAAAATGTTGACTAAATAATTATTACACTAAAATCACAAACTTGAAATGTTTCTGTGCCAAAAGTTCAACAGAAACTGTTGTTTACGAAAGACATTTTATACGTAAAAAGTAACGGAAATGTATATTTTTTCATTTAGTAGTTTTATACAAATACGGACGAAAAGTTATTACTCTTCAAAACAGTTAAAACACACGTAGGTGGCTCCCCCTACAAATAGGAGTCATATTGACATCAAAATAAAATTTCCTATGTCAAAAAACTCCCAGACACCAATTGTCATCCAAATATTGACGTTACTTGAGAAATTACTAGGAAAAAATCGATATAAAAATCAAAATTCTACACCCTGCATCTCCGAAACTAAGCATTTTAGGACATACATTTATACGAACTTTTTACATATTTTTATCTACAGAATATGCTGCCGAAGTTTCCGGAATACAGTTCGGACCACCCTGTATAGAGTGAGTTTTAATTAGGTACAAATATTTTCAGGCCTGGTAGATCTCGATAAAAGAAACATATTTTTTCTTTACCGTTCTTCAAATAAGTCCAAAATAACCGAATTATTCTACTTTCAAAATTTCCAATAAAAAAATAATATTTTGCTTAAATTTTGAGGAGCACTGGATCTTTTCTGGATTTTATTTCTTATAATTTTAATCTACTACCTATGTTGCCATATTTATTATCAAGAAATTATATTTTTTAACTAAGAAAATTTCTAAAAAAATTCTCAAAAAGTTCCAAATTTTTTTTTTTTTTGCGAAAAAAGCTCACAATCGTGTTTTTGGGGTCGAAATATACTACCCCTAAAAATACTTGAACTTATTTAAGACTTACCCTGTATATTACTAGCTAATACGTATCCAATTCGCTTTGCATAAAAATTTCGAAAGATATATTTCTTTATAAATCTTGCAATGTTGGGATACAGTAAAAGTCTTTAAAGTGAAATAAATTCATTATATTAAACAGAACTTAAACAAAATGCTTGAACATGTCAATTATTATATTAAGTTTCTCATGTAGAAAACGTAATTTTATCAGCCGACTGTTTTTATTAAAATAGAAATAGTTTGAGTCGACTCAGCCTTAAATGAGTACTTGGGATTCACAATCCTGAGAATAGGCGGTTGAATCGTAGAGTGCTAGCCACATTACCTTGCTTGTATACCGAACGACTCTAGCATGGCGAGCTATTATTATTATTATGTGGAAAAAGTTAAAACTTTGTTAATATTTTTTACCAATTGAAAATTACTAATACTAATTTTGACGTTCAGAATCATAATTTATTATATTATTTTGAAGTTCTGAATAACGCTTTAGTCACTCAGTATGTAATGTTCAGTAATAAATATAAATGAAATGCGCTTGGAATGGGCTAAGCTGATTTAAAAATCAGTTGCCACATGTATTATAGATATATGACATGAAACTTTTAACTCTGCTATTTGTTCACATAGTTTTTAGCCTTTACCCTTGTGTCTGTAAAATAAATCCATTTTCACGAAATACACACTTTAAACTGAAATTGCCAATTATGGATTTGTTTAGAGTTCGTAGTTAAAACAATTTCGTTTATATAAATCAAATATTATTTTAAAATAGGTTTCCAATTAGTATTCCAATAAAATTTCAAAACGATCTGACGTGTATAACATTCCTTTTGTTCTATTGACACGTTGATACGTATGTTCGGTACTTAATATAATGTTTTAGCTTCAATTATTTTGCGAAATATTTAGTGTTTTCGACACGACAATTTAATAGATTGAAACGCCAATAAACTATAAAAAAGGTAAAAATTTTATATATTAATAAAGAATACTCTACCCCCCTCAGTAAAATATGTCGAATTTAATTGTTATTTTTATTTTATATATTTTTCTTTGTATTAAACTATTAAAAGAGTATTATGTCTATTTATTAAGAATATCCAAAACTAACCAATTTATAGTTTTATAAGAATCTTTATTAATTTGCCATATTCTTATTTTATTATTTATTTTTCTCTGCAAGATGAATTTTAGCAAAGAACGGGGAATCGTATAATCTATTATTAAGAAAAATGCATTATGGTTCTTATGTGGATTTTTACGGATTTTTTTACCTCAGTGCTTTTATTTCCTTCCACGTTAGAATTATTTGGGAAGGAGGAAGAAAAGATTGTAGCTAATCTGGTTTACAAAAACAATTTTCCTAATTTGTAGCAAACAATATTAAAAGATTAAAAGAAACGTAAATTTGAAAATATAAATCTTTAGCAAAAAATGTAGTTTACGTTAATCAATTTTTCAAATATCATATCAAAAATCAAGCAATCCATTTCAAACGTTGTGGTGGCTTCTGAAAAAGAAGTAAACATGAAGTATGAATAAATATCATTAGTTTGTAATGGAGTGTAATGGAATGCTACTTATAATGTAATACTATATTAAACTGATATGAAAAATTAAAAACAGTGCATTTAGAAAAAAGTTACCGATAGTAGATTAAGTAGGCTGTTCCTCTAAGGTTACACAATGATATTTATTTTTAATCATTGTCTAATATTATTAATTATTACAATATAGTAAAAAAAAATATATTTCTAAAACTTAAACTTGTAAAACTGTAGGGCAACAGTGACTAACTATTCTAGAGCTCCGCCTTTACGGTGCTAAACTATTTAAAAAGTCCTCTAATTATTTCGTATTTTTGAATGGATTTATATCAAACCATGTTATTTTCATATACAAAAGTATCTGTTACAGTTTTCTTTTAAAACAATAAAAGAACATTGTTTTTTAAAAATGTACGTAGACTATAGTTTTAATGACATCGGGTCAATCAATAATTTTCTCAATCAACTCGATATACTGATGATGTTGTCAGTATTACTGATCAAGCAATACTACTGTTATATTAATCAACCGCTTAAACAAACATAACATACAATTTTATATACTAATAATAACCTCATACCTCATAATATATAACCTCATACCCAAGGAAGGAAAGGAAAAAAAAATATATGAATATAATCTAATGGTTAAAGAAAGAAGAAACAATAATTAATCTATTTATAATATACTAATTCATCATAATAAAATTAAATAATAATAATATTGTAATGCATAATAATAATATTGTAATTTTATTCCTGGAGATTAAGTGAAAAATTTTGTTCTTATATATGTAAATATATCTTATATTATAAACGCGTGTTCAAATATTATTGTGGAATATATTATATAAACATAAAACGAGAAGTAATTATTAACGAAATATCATCGTAACAACAGATATTTTAAAAACATCTAGGTTTACATATTTCACTTTGATTTATGAAAAAAAAGTCCTCTGCCTCGGGTATAATACCGACATGTTCTAGACATAGTTCGAAACGAAACGAAATTGAACGGTATAACAGGAAACGCCAAAAAATTATCCCAATGCCCTTCTCTGTAATTTCACGAGTAGTTTGGTGGCGCTTTTGTGAAACAAACGTATACAACGGTCGAGACAAAACGAAATAGGTCAAGGCAACCAGAGATAAGCCGAAATACAACAAAGTTAGGCGACGAAACGCGACCTTGGCCTGCTTCGAAGTATTCTCGAATAGTGTCGAGCGCGTATGTTCAATTGACGGCGAATAAAAGATACACACAAAATGACTGATTGCAGAAATAAAGGGCTTCAAAATGACTTGAAAATGGCGATTATATATTTACATTCTATATAATTTTATATATAACTAATCTTTTTTCGAAGCCAATTGTTGATTTTTTTTTGGTTCGAACGCTATGTTAATTTATAAAACAAATTATAATTTATTACACTACAATATTACAAAACAGGCATTTAAAAATCAAGATATTTGCTATAGTTAACAAGGTTAAAAAATATAGTTATCACGGTTTTTTTCTTAATTTGTTAAAGACAGTATGGATCGCCAGAATGAAAATCATTGTGTGTACGACATTAGAGAATGACATTGCACGTAAACGGTGGTAAAATACGGTAGAAAACAGGAATACATACCTATAAGATGATTGGAATGAACTACATTCAGGAGTGGTTAAACGCGCTTTAAGAAAGAAGAAAATGGGTTTTAAAAATATTAAAAATATCTATTCATTCTACGGTCCATTAAGTAGGCACGAAAAAGACGATCGATGGCATTCACAATGTATGCTTAATTTCCAAACCCACTCTGTTGCATTGCTTTTCCTATCGTAAGTTATATTAATTTATAAAGCAACTTATTATTCACTATACTACAATATGCAAAATTAATATTTAAAAATCAAGACATTTGATTATTTTAACACGTTTATTATTTTAAAATTATTTTTAACACGTTTTTTTATAATTTGCCAAACACTAGAGACTAGCCAAAGCATTATACAAAAAACAGAAAATTCATAGTTCATTAAATACTACGAACTAGGTTATTTTAATATTCCTACTTATGATCCTGTACAAATTAAACTTTGACAAAGAAGGGTGTATCATATAATGTATAATTATGAAAAATGTTTTTTTATTTATACATTAAACCCTCTTTACGCGCGATGGGAGTAAAAATTCAAAGCCGCGACATTTGACAGCCTTGACACGACATGGCCTTGACAATGCCTTTATGCACGAGCTTGCGAGAAAAAAAAAAACCTGGTGAAACCTGAAAAGAAAATAAAAAAAAACATCCTCTGCTTGTGTGCTAGGAAGTAAATTTTCATGCATATTTTCATCGATAGGTTTGTAGCTTCTGAATAACAGTCTAAGTAAAGCATTTAACTCATTTGATAGCTCTGAATTAGAGTTATTAGAGTTAAGCAACCTGCATTTTCATTGGAGGACATAGTCATATTTATTTCAAACCAATAATCAACGAGAATATTTGTATAATTTAAAAAAATTACTGAAAACCACTATAAATACGAATTGTGGGTTAGATTCATTTCTTTTTTCTCTTCTTAAATAAAATTAAGCGTTAACATTATTAGGAATTTCCATAAAAGTGTGTATTTTGAGTGGTATTTCACAAAATTTGCAGGCTATTGAGGAAACAGAAAATGTACAGACTACAGAAATGAATTGAAAATAACCTTTATATTAGAACAGCATTATATGTCACTTTTTCGAACATGTCTTCAAATGCTCCAATTTAATGGCTGTTAGTAAAGGTGCGTCCAGATCTGGCAAGACAAAAGCGAGGAAAGAGCGAGACAAGAGCAAGACGAGAGCAAGACGAGAGCGAGACGTGTTCTATCCATTTTTTGAGGCAAGTCTGCCACGAGACAAGCGAGTGAGATTATAGTGAAAGGAACCCAAACACATTTTAAATTGTAATTGAATATATCGAACGATGGCCAATTAATAACGGATAGAGTAATAAATGTTTGTATCTTTAACATGGTGTTTGATTTGTAGTATTTTATTCATCGTCGGTTTTTTTTCTTTTGGTTCATTTCCCCTTTAATCGTTCATTTGTTTCGAGACACGACGTCTTGTAGAACTCTTTTTAGAACAAAATATTAAATAGAAAAATTATAGGAAAGGTTAAGAAGCACATTTTAAAATTACTGTAGAGTATACAGAGCACTTCAAAAAAGTGTTGCGGATGTAACATATATTTTTTAATAGGAATACCCTATTTTTTATTAATTCAATTTGTTTAAAGAAATTGCTATATTTGGGTACTGTAAAAATTAACAGTGGCGCAAAATTTGTAAATTCTATCAGAAAAAATGATAATACAAACGGTGTATCATTTAAAAAATTTGAGATTATTTAATTTTAAATAGTCGAAATACACAAATCAGAGCTAATATCTCGCAGTCGAGCGTCTACCAAAAACACGTCCAGAGTGTGGCGCGAACTTTCTTTGATCGGTCGTCGCAAAACCGACAGGGTACGGATAGCAACGAGGCTCCGTGGGCTCTAACGCTCCGAGGCTCCGTCTCGCTCTCGTCTCGCTCTCGTTTCGTCAGATCTGGACGCACCTTAAGAAATTTCACTTCAAATATGCGCACATAATGCACACACAGTTTTTTTAATTATAAAAAAATTTCTGTTGTGGCAGTTTACTGAATTTCCGTCAGTGATATTTTCTTCTATTTTAGGATTATTTCTCATTATTTATTTCAAAATTTAAAAATAATTTTTTTTTAATTTTCATTTTTATATGTAAAAATGTGTTAAACTTTGTGGTCTAATAATAAAGACGTCTTTGAAATAAAAAAAAACGTCTTTGTCAGCTAATTAACTATCAAATTTATAGTTTTATAAGTATTACTAACTACCATGTTCTTATTTTATTATTTATTTTCCTGTACAAGATAAACTTTAATAAAGATCGCGACATCGTATAATCTATCATTAAGAAAAATGCATTAAGTTTCTTATGTGGCAGTTTGCGGAATTTCCTGCGCCGCGCCGTGCTATTTCCTCCCACGTTAGAATCATTTGTTGAACTTTCCGGGACAAGAGGTTATGACTAATCTGATAAACTTGCAAGAATAATTTTCCTGACTTGTAGCAAACGACATTAAATTTCTCCTGTTGGGTTCGCAATTAAGCCGAACGTAATCAGGGGTTGAACGTGATATGTTTCTGTTATCCACGAACGTTCGCTATTTTTATCCCTTTGTTTCAGGTTGCAACCTATTTAGAATAGTGTTTTTTTTTGTAAAATATATATTAAAATGCATATATGCATACTCTGTGTACAATAACTTTTGCATTGTGTTTTTTATGGTACTAAAGGATATATAAAAAATATTATTAATTTAAAAGAACGGATCTCTCCACAAAAATCCTGTATGGGTATTTCGCCATTGCAAGAAAATCTACAAAATAAAATAGTTATTTTTTGTAAACACTACTGCGTTAATCGAACGGAAACTACTTGTCAACAGTTAAGTTTACAGCTAAACAACTTTGCCTAACGAACAAAAAAATTCTTAACGTTTCGGCAAGTTTATCTCCTTCCGTCGTCGGAAGCAAACAAAAATACAACGAATAAAGAAAAAAACTATTTAAAATATTTAAAATTCAACTATTCGAGAACACCTTTAGTTTTTTTAAAACAGATAGGTCTACAAAAACCGTTGACGTTCTGTTAAAATGACATGATATCAAGTTAAACTTCAAAATTAACAATTATTACCTGATAGCAATTACTTAATAAGGCAAAACCAAAAAGCCTCAAATTTTCTGTATGATTATTTTTAATTTTTAAATTTTTACGTATGTTGTTTATTTATGTTATGTTCTTTAAATTCAAAGAAACGATTGCCATACATTACTAACTTCTACAGATGCATGAGCAATACATTTATTTTTATTAGATTATATTAAAAAAAGCCTCTTTTATTTTTACTTTCGAGGCTATCGCTTCTTTCATTATAATTTTGGCGTTGTTAAAATTTATTCTGTGCTCTGTGTCCCATAAATGCTGAAATTTATGGAAAACATTCAGAATTCATGGGACACAGGGCACAGAATAAGTTTTAACAATGGACATACAGGATTTTTTTAGAGAGATGAATCCGCCACATAGGTATAGACATTTTTTAAAAGAAAGAATATAATACCATACGATCGAAAAAAAACCGGCGACAAAGACGGCTGTGGAATGGACAATCGATGATAATTTTTGCGAGGTCAAGCTCTAGACGCCATTACTTGGTCCGTATTCCTCTTTATTATTTAATTAATTGTGCTTACTGCCAGTTGGTCTTAAGAAAGTTCCACTATATTTTTATATCGGGTAAAAATTATTTTTAAATGGTGTAGTTAAAGTATAAAACTTGAGTAAAAATAATTTTTAGAAATAGATTTGTGTCTGGAAACGTTCTATCCTTTTTTAATCTTTCTATAATTTTGTTTATAGTAAGGGGTTAGACAACGACAAAATAAAATACTAATTTACTATAAAAATAAAGTGTTTTGTAAGTGGTAAATTAGTGTATGAAATGGCGTGCACAGGTTTAGGACCAGGAAATAAACAACCTTTTATTTAAAAAATTGGCGACGTTACGACGTGTATTTACTTTGTGACGTGTATTATGTATGCAATTTTATTAAATAAAAAGTTGTTTATTTCTTGGTTCTAAACCTGCGAACGCCATTTCATATACAGCATGCCTCCCCGGATTGACTTTACAAGAGGAAGAACTTTTTTATTATTGGCATTTTGAGAGAGAGAAAACAGTTTTCTTCAGTTTCAGAAAACAACTTCTTTAACATTTTAAAACAACAAAAAATATTACGTTAATTAAAATTCTAATAATAACAATCTATCATCGACTATAAGAAAGCATATGACTATGTTCCTCATTCTTGGCTTAAAAAGGTTTTGGAAATTTATAAGATTAATCCAAAAATTACAGAGTTTCTCAGTCATGCAATGACACTATGGAATACAAAACTAATTGTGACTGGACCGAAACAAACATACGAAACGAGAACCATAAAGATCAACCAAGGTATATTCCAGGGCGACAGCCTGAGTCCAGTCTGGTTTTGTTTGGCCTTAAACCCCTTGAATAAGATACTTTCAAACAGCAACTTAGGCTACAAGGTCACCAAGCGAAACAAAGTAGTACTAAATCATCTTATGTACATGGACGATATTAAAATATATGCAAATAATCCCGAGCAGCTTCAAAGTCTGTTGGAATTGGTATCCCGTTTCAGTAAATCAATCCATATGGAATTTGGCTTATCTAAATGTGCTACTGTACACTACCAAAAAGGTAAGCTGATAAGTCATGAGAATGTTACACTAATGGATGGTACAGAGATAGAGACACTAAAAACATCTGCATACAAATATCTTGGAATGTTACAAACGGGGCAGATCAAGGATAAGGAAATAAAGACCAGAATGAAAAATACTTACCTAAAGAGAGTGAAAACCGTTTGTAAAACATACTTACCGGGCAGACAGAAGATTGCAGCAGTCAATAGATTCCTGTCCTGGCGCACACATACGGAGTCTTGAAATGGTCCAAAACAGAGCTGCAGGAAATAGACAGAGCTACTAGGAGAACACTATCTCAGTTCAGATTGCACCATCAGTCATCTTCAGAAATCAGGTTGTATCTCCCCAGGATCCATGGAGGGAGAGGACTTATCAATGTTGAAAGAGCATGCAACAGACAAAATAACAAACTAGCAACCTATTTTATGCAAAGGGATACTTACCTTCATCGAGCAATATGCGAGATTGACCGAGGCTACTCTTTCTTGAACCTGGCTTCCCATATCCCAACGGAAGTTCCATCGGTTCAGGAACAGCTGAGGGAACTTCGAGGAAAGGCTCTGCATGGAAGGTATGCCAACGAAAGCCAGGCAGAAGGAATTGATAAAAGTGGATCTATAAATTCCTTACAAACATTAACCTCATGGGAGAAACCGAGGGCTTCATATATGCAATACAAGATCAAGTGGTTAGCACTAGAGCGTATAGGAGGCATATTTTAAAACAAAACATACCAACTGACAAATGTAGAGTATGTCATAAGATTAGCGAATCCATCCAACACATCAGCTCTGGATATGAGAGTCTTGCGTCAGTCCACTACACGGAAAGACACGACAACATAGCAAAGATTATTCACCTGGAAATGCTAAAGTACCTAAAAATCAAGAACCCTGAAAAGAAATATTATGAATACAGGCCACAAGAATTACAGGAAAACGAACATCATAAAGTATACTGGAATACGCAAATACAGACAGACAGATCAGTAGTTCATAATAAGCCGGACATTGTTTGGATAGATAAAAACGAAAAGAAAGCCTACTTAATCGACGTAGCTGTACCACTAGATGACAACGTAGTCGAAACTGCAAAGGAAAAAATTTCGAAGTATCAAGACTTGGCTTTCGATATGAGGCAAACCTATCATCTAAAAGCAATCCGACTAATACCACTCGTCATTTCAAGCAATGGTTTGGTTCACATTGATTTTGAGAAGAACTTAAAGGAGCTGAAGCTACCAGAAAATATCATAAGTCAATGTATTAAAGCAGCTATTTTGGGTACGGTGAACATAGTCCGCAGAGTAGTGAACATGGAGCCTTGAATGGAAATATTCCGGCGATACGTCAGGGTACAACCGAGAGAATCGTGAGAAGAAAAAAAAAAAAAAAAACAATCTATCAAAAAATGAAGAACGATTATTATTGATCTTTACGACTTTAGAAAAAATTCAACCATATTTCATGTTTTTCTTAATTTTCTCTAAATCAGTATGAAAATTATAGAGATACCCATAGAGAACATCGTAGAAAACTCACCCTGTACATATAATTATACTAAAAGTGTTAGGAAGTATAATTTGTGAAAATTCTTAAAATAAAAAAAGTACCGATATCTTCAGAGGGTCTAACTTGCATTATAATTTATTATTCCAGCTAAAACACTTTTTAGATGAGTTCAATTACGCTAGCGAGCATAGTTTCATGCACCGGTTTTGCAAGTGGGGTCATAATCGGGGCTATTTCGGCTATAATGAAATTTTCTAAAGGTACATACTTATAATTTTAGAAGATGTTCATAAAACATTAATTTTTACCGTATTATCACTAGTTGATTGAAAAAAGTGTACCGTTAATATTGAAAATTATATATAATCCTCTCTTAATATATGTCTATTTATTTTTTTGAGTATGTAACGAGCAGTTTATTTACTCACTTGTTTCGTCAAACTGCTTAAATCCATTTTTTCTTTTGATTAAATCGGTGTGAGAAACTATGGAGCTATAAAAGATTGTTTCGAGAGACATAGACATTAGAGAAATATCCGGGAAAGTTAAGGTATTGAATGCTGTTGCACCCAACAACGCCCTAATTATGCTCTTGTTTACGCGTTAACATTTTTTCGGCAATTTTATTAGCGTTTGAAATTATCACAATCACAACACGATGCCTAGTTCGGATTCTTTTTTACTTATTTTTACTACCAGAAACAGCGCCAGCGTTACATCACACAAACCTCGGACCCTGAGTGTTTTATATTTTCAATAATTGCACTAGCAAAGAACTAAAATACTTTAATATTATGACAAAACCACGATTTCAAAATTATTTTAATGCTATTAAAATGAACAGTAACCCTAAATTTCTGATATCTGCCGTATACAACGCGGAATTTTTTGAAATCAACTGAAATGCACGAAGCCTATTGGAAATATCTATTAATGTCTATTTTTATTACAATTTTGAGAGAAATCTAATTTGAAGAGGCTATGTAGTATTTTTTTTCTGTCTATGACAATTTAAACTGAACTATTATTATATTAAAAATTAATTGACTTTAGAAATATTTTATTATTAACTAAATAAAATTTAACTTATTCAAGCTTAATTTCTCTCAAACTGAACTTTGTTTTGATGCCTATTCCAACCAGAGGAACGAATTTTCAACAATACAATAGAAAATGTCTTTTTATTTTGCATCTTTCGTTTGCATTGTTTCATTCGCTATCATTAATTAAAAAACTTTTCAAATTATCGTTTTTTGTCTAGTCTAATTACATACAAACAATCGGCTTTCGCATTTCAAATGAAAACTTTTCTAATGATTATGCGATTCTCCTTTTGTCTCAGCAATTGGACGTGGATTGTGATGCTATTTCCTTTCTTTTTAGAAAGTAACTTTATAATTTATATATAAATAGAAAGCCTATTTTGTGAGATAAAGGTTAGTTGAATTTAAGTTTTAAGGAATAGCAGTCGAAATTGCTTTCTTATACAGGGTTGCTTACCACATACGACACGGAGTATTGTAGCTAAAGGATTAGATTCTTACAAATTGTAAGTTTTGGGTTCGTTGAAGGACTATTAGAGCTACAATTTAAAAATATTTTTACAAGATACAGAGTGTCCCAAATAAATAAAAAATAACAAAGTTGTATTTTTTTAAATGAACCACCCTGTATATTATTACATTTTTAGTTTCTACCATTAAAATAAAGGTAAATTTGATAAAGGTTTATTACACTTAAACCTTACCGTTTTTGAAATATTTTCAATTTTGTGAAATTGCAGTCAAAATTTTAAGGCTTCATTTCTCCAAGGGTATCAAAGTGTTTAATACTAAATATTTACTGAAGTTTATTTATTGATCAGTTATTGTGCTGCAATAATAAAAATTATACTACCTTATACAGAGTGTCCAAAATTTTATTTTAAATAATTACTAGTTTAAACGGCAATAACTCGTTTAATTTAAATGGAACACCCTGTATATTTTATGAGAATCAGATGCACAATTTAATTGTCTATTAAATTGTATTATAACATTTTTACCTATCTCTTCAAGTTTCCATAGAAAATGCATTTTCTTGTAATTTAAAACTCTTTTATCAATATACCCATGGAATACTGACATTTTAGATCATTTTTAAAGATGTACCAAATTTTTAAAGAGTACAGATACTAATTGTCGATGTAGTTTGTTTATTTTATTAAAAATTAAAAAAAAAAGTTTAAATATTTGTTAAAGAGGACCAATTAATATGATTTCAGTATTCAAACTACATTAATTGACTGTTTGCGTTGATTAATAATAATTGCTCAAAATACTAAAAAACTGAATTTTGTATGTGTAACCTTAAAAATAATATTTAATTTTTTGACAAATGCGTATTTATAACAACAGAGACATTCATTTTCATAAGTTATTATTATATTGATTTCTGATTCAAATCCACATTTATTTAGAATAATTTATTAACGAACATAATTAAGTATGTAATTAATTAGCATTTGGGCGGAAATAATGGTGGTATATTTAATTAATGGTATACTCTTTTATAAAGATTTAAATAGTTTTCTTTTCGCAAACAAATGGGCTAGTAACATTATCATTTTGCTAAAAACGATAATATTACTAGCCTGTACATTTTGTACCTTTGTTGCTTTAAAAAAAACAATCTAAAATGTCAATAGTCCATGGGTATATTGATAAATGAGGTCTAAATTATAAGAAAATGCATTTTATACGAAAACTTGAAGGGATAGGTAAAAAGTGGTGTAATACAATTTGATAGACAATTAAATTGTGCATCTGATTCTCCTAAAATATACAGGGTGTTCCATTTAAATTAAATAAGTTATTGCCATTTAAAGCTATAAATAATTTAAAATAAATTTTTAGACACTCTGTATGAGGTAGTATTATTTTTATTATTGCAACCCAATAACTGATCAATAAATAGACTTCAGTAAATATTTAGTATTACAAACTTTGATACCCTTGGAGAAATGAAGCCTTAAAATTTTGACTGCAATTTCACAAAATTGAAAATATTTCAAAAACGGTAAGATTTAAGTGTGATAAACCTTAATCAAATTTTTACCTGTATTTTAGTCGTAAAAACTAAAAATGGAATAATATACAGGGTGTTCCATTTAAAAAAATACAACTTTGATATTTTTTATTTATTTGGGACACTCTGTATCTTGTAAAAATATTTTTAAATTTTAGCTTTAATAGTCCTGCAACGAACCCAAAACTTACAATTTGTAAAAATCTAATCGTTTAGCTACAATACTCCGTGTCGTATGTGGTGAACAACCCTGTATAAATCCATTTAATTTTGAATTTACTCATTCATTTTGATATTTACTCATTCGACCACGGAAGTAAGCCACCTTTTCGCTATGTAATTTAATGTAATGATGCTTCTATCTACTAATTATTATTTTAGAGTTTTTTGCAAAAAAGTATAACACACTTTAAAAGTCCCATATTTTTTCATGTCCATTTAAAACTTTAGAAATATTTCTAAAGCAACATGTCATTTGGAAACTAAAGTATATATTTTATAATATAAAAATTATCTTTTTTAACATTTAAGGTTTTATAGTAATTTAATTTCTCGACTTCAAATTTGTGTTTGTTTTGTTTTTTTCTTCTTGATATTTTCGTATTCACTATCTGCAATAATGTACAGGATATTTTATTCAAAAACAGAAAGTTGATGCTCAAAATTGGACTCAATTGAACTTCAAAATTTGTCAAATGTTTTTTTAACATTATTACCGTATATTTTAAAATTTGCCTAATTGGCAACTGGCGAAGGAGTACCGAGAGAGAGTCGCTAAACAACTAGAAGAAATCTTCCGTCAACTAGACTGGACCAACAAAGGATTAAAAATAAATGTAGAATATCTTAACCATCTAAGCTGACATAGTCCTAATTGCCAATAGTTCTGAAGAGCTACAAACACAAATTTATGAACCTAAATACAGCCAGAAATAAAGTAGGTCT